TTAACGGTTTAAATCGCGATATTTTTTTTAAATTTAAATTAATTTAAATTTAACTAATAATTTTTAAATTTATATATTTAACTGATATATCGCGTTTTAAACCGTTAAAATGTTTTATTAAAAAAAAGTTTATAGTTACAGACAGGGTCTATAATTATAATAAATAACAAAAAAGCTTCCGTGCTGCCGTTTATTATTTAAATATAACAGTTTGAACGGTTTAAAATTGAAAATATATTTCTTTAGTACGACCCAACATTTCAAACGATTTTTCGGACTCTTGGTTAGGCCGGTCAAATAAGGTAACAAATATATTACGCGTTGTAAACAATTAAAAGTGTTTTATTTAAGTATGTACTAGCGTATAATACACACACTGCTGTTAACGGAAGCAGTACACATTTAAATGAAATACTTTTTACGGTTTAAACCGTTAAAAGTATTTCATATTAGTCAAACTTATTTTATGCTTTATATAATCCGAAACGTCGGGTCGTGGTTAAAATAAGTTTAACAAATGAATTTCGAATAATTAGCTAAGAATGTTTTAAATGAATGTCTTCCATTAAAATACAATGTCACTAGTTGTCCGCGAGAATCGTTATTTTGGGCATCCAAATTAGTTTTTGCAAACCCCGTCATCTGTTGAAGTGAAGTTGTTAACCGCGACGTCGATCGCGTCCCTTCCCGTCTTTCTTACTTTAATCTTAAAAGATATACATATAGAGTCGCGGACTTTTTAAAGATGAATCATTCTTTCAGAAACATTTTGCATTTTGAACCGATTTCGCAGCCTTCGCATCTAAAACACACATAGATGAAAAATTTCCCCCATCTTGTTCAGACCTTCCTCGATAAGTACTCAAACCAACACAAAAAGTAATTTTCCAATTCGAACACTTAGTTCCTGAGATTAGCGCGTTCAAACAAATAAGCTCTTCATATATTTGTATAGATAGGTAGAAGTAGGTACTTAACTTTACAGTGAATTCTCGAAACAAACGAAACCGCCTTTTATTTATAAAACCAGGTTCTAACCAGCTCAAAAGCGAACATTATAATATATTACACTAATTGCGCTGTCGCGAACCCCTTGAGTGCCTCGGGCTGGGAAAAATATATACATCCCTGCTAATAATATTTCTACCTTCTTTGTCATTGTTGTATTCAGACACATTTAAGTGTTTATACGATGCGGTGGCAGAATAGAATGTGTTAAGAATTTCATCAGGTGTTTCTCAAAATTCTAAAATGCGCGTTGATTGATCTACCATGATAAGCAAATCGGTTTTTAAAAAATCGAAAATAAATTGAAAAAATTTTCGACTCGGGCAGGACTTGAACCGGCATCGTCAGCTTTCCGTGCTGTTGCTCTACCAATTGAGCTACCGAGTCGAAAATTTTTTCAATTTATTTTCGATTTTTAAATTATATAGTGCCTTCATGTGCAATAACATGTGAAAAATATTAATGTTTTCAAATCGGTTTTTTTTTATAGATAGGAGGAAATACCACAGCCTTATAACATCTAAACAAGATTCGTTGTCAAGCTGTTTCGACTTTGGATATGGTAACCCACAGACAAACCGAAACGCGAGTTAAGTTTTTATCTGTGGATGGTAGTTCGTGACCCGGTCTTTAAATATGACCTTTTTTTTCTTTTTTTTAACATAACGTTTCTAACGCGTTGAAGTGATCGTGTATGAGTGGGACTTCTACCTTATTTGTCGTTGACTTTTCTTACAGTCCTTATGTAAATGTCAAACTAAACAACTTTTAATATTTCCATTTACGTACATTGATTTTTAGGATATCATTAATAATTTAAGCGTAAAATCGTGTTTTTTACTAAGTGAAACTGTTTTCTAAGTAAATACTGTGTGAGTTTACGCGAGTAATACACATTTAAATAAAACACTTTGACGGTTTAGAACGCGATATATTTTAGTTAAATCCTTTGCAGCAGCCGAAACGTCGGGCCGTAGTTAAAAATATTTTTTAAACAAGTTCAACTTAAAATTTATCGCGTTTTAAACCGTTAAAATGTTTCATTTGAATTTGGGATACTTTATGAGTTTGATATATAATTCAGTGTTTTAGTGTGAATCTATGATCAAACTCTGTGGTAAAAAGCAAGTGCCAAATACACTGTATGCCTACAGCAGTAACACCAAATAAAGTCCCATTTAACAGTTTGCAACTGAAGTAAATTGTTAGGCCAAGTTAGAAACTTCATTAATTGCTTGTAACTTCTCTTAACGCTAAAATACTCAACTCTAGTGACATTTTACTTGAGATTAATAGTCGCATGTACGTTACGTAATTCATTTCATAGGGTCGTTTATTGCAGTTACGCTGAAACGCATTTAACTGTTTGTAACTGCAAATATATTCGTATCTACAACATCGAACCATAGTCAAAATAATTTGTAAATAAGATTAACTAATATTTTTCATGTTCTACACCGTTAACAGCGTTTATTTTTTTTTATGTATAGGTATTCCTCGCGTAAAAAACAGACAATACTCAGTATATTCGTTAACTCATAATTTTTTAATAGATAAAAATCAACAAAGTTTCCATTCTATGGTTACGAACTATTTGTGAAGTGTAAAGAAAGTGTCGCAAAGTAATAAGTTTAATAAAAGTATGTCACTCATATTTTTTACGTTTTAAACCGTTAAAAGCGTTTTACTTAAATGTGTATTACTTGCGTAACAAAACTTAATAATGTCATTGTTATATATTTTTGCACTTTAAGTACCGTTTTATCATTATATTTGAAATAACAAACGCAGTATAATGACAATATGTCCGTACTAATGACATTACCTCTAATAACTTATCAAATGCTTAACCTTCAATCAATACGAATCCGGATCCATCTTGTCAATTGTCATGAGCCGAGGAGGTTGACCTGAATACTTTCCCGCCATTTGTTGGACGTCAACTCTTTCGCCATGTTTCCCGTTCCCTTGACTAATGATGTAGGGAATTGAAATCCGTGCGGCATTATGGGATTTTTGGGATCGAGGTTAACAAAACGAATGGGCCATTTTTAAACCAACCTTTTTGTATTAAAATGCCGTATATGTATATTACTATACAAAGGGGAAACGGAATTGAGTAAATTTGAGTATTTGAGCCTACCTGTGGTCGTTGAACTGCTGAACTGTAATGATTCGTAAACCTCAGACACGTCTGTCATAAATAGAAAAACTCTTTAAAAATTATCAACTAGTGTATGTAATTAATGCGAGTAGTATACATTTAAGTAAAATACTTTTAACGGTTTAAAACGCGAAATGTATTAGTTAAACTTGATGAGCTCGTTGGCTTAACGGTAGGAGTTCCCATTGGTCCCAAAATGTTTCTGATCTAATTAACTGGGTGGTAGGAATATGTAAATTCCCCGAAAAATATTTAAAAAAACATGAAGTGAACCGCGTTTCGGTGTTAGTTTGTGGATTTCCGGATATCCAAAACTTAAATAGATCGGCAGCGCATCTAGGATAGGTACATGTTACATGGCTGGAGTATTTCACCTATCATCAAGTCAATCCATGTTTATATTATTTATGTAGTTAACAACACTCTATTATCATAACTAATACATTGTTATGTTAACTACAAAGGGATATTCAATTTCGCAATTCTACTAAACTTTTCGTTTATTATGCTAACGACATTGTTACCTTTAGTTTTTCCACCGGGACCACCTCAACCCGATTCTTCTAAAGCTATCACATTTCTTTTCTGCGGCTTTTAGACGTGAAGGGAAAAACTTTTCTGTGGAAATTTTATTAAAAGCGTTAGGTTTTATTTAACTGTTGTTTTTCTTTTCTATTTTACATACTGAAAAAGTGAAATCGCGTTTCCTCCACGTGGGGCTCGGGGCGAACACTTTTTGTGTTCGTTTCACTGATCCGTTCTTTAACAGGCAAGTAGTTGATCAGACTTATGTGCCCTGCCCGACCGAAACAATTTTATGTTTCCCTGGGCAACTTAACGCTAGGCAATACGTTTAACTATTTGGCTACAGAGGTGGAAAAAAAACTAAATCCTTGTGAAATAGGAGAAATCACTCGACATGTGCTTTACCTAAGTGTAGAGAAGAAGCGCCGATTTCAATTCACATAATTAGTCTAAAAATAGTAATCAAGGCTTATTTTAATGATCGTTAGAGTGTTCAACTTAAGGGCGCAATCAATTTGTCAATCTCTAAACCTTTATAATGGCTTCACATTTAGTTTGCGAAGGAAGTCACTTGTACTTGCCCGAATCCAACGTTAAATAGAGCGCGAGCGAAGTCAGATTATCATGCAAATTCTCGGCGCCGTCAGCATCAGCTCAAACGGCCTCTAACGACACCCTTTTTGTTCCTAAACCGCCTTTCAAAGGCATCAATCTGTCCTAAATACAAAGGGATTCTTGTGTAACATTAATCTATTTATTATTTTACGGCTGTTTTTTCGTTATGAGTACCCAAATTAATTAATAAATGTAATTGTAGAAGTGTAATCGCGTTTCGGTTACAGTCTGTGGGATTCTGTACATCTAAAGCCTAAATTTGCTGACAGTGCTTCTGGTTCACATGACGCATCACATACCATCAAGTAAACTTCATGCAGATAAACCTATTAAGAGTGCACCATACAAAACAATAATAGGATATCCTGAAGGAAATGGGCCAGATATATTCCTGTGTCTATGCGACTCATAGTGATGAATTTTATTAATATAAATAAATGCTTTCAAGAAAGTTAAGGAAACTTTCGAGCGCCTGATCATAATTATTTATAGGGAATCGAAATCACTACATTTCGCCTTTTTCGCAGTACAAGCTACCTAAACCACGTAGTTATATTAGCGGCTTAATTTAATATTACAAACCAAATAATGTCTAATTATATTGTAACTATCTTAAGTAACTAAAGTATACTTATAACTCTAAAAATTAAGATTACTGTAACTTTAATTATATTTTTCTTTGTTTCAGAGCTGTGCGAGGCTTAAAAAACACACAGCACACCGTTCTTATAGCCGTTGTTAAAAAAAGGTAAGTTCACTATTAATATTTATTCTAGATCCAATGTATATTTTTTTGTTATTTTGTACACCAAAACTAATATACAATTTTAAAAACAAACTTTTAAACCGTTATGACGGTTTTTTTTTAGGCGACATTGCCAAAATTACAAACACTAAATGCCTATGCGTAGTACACATTTGAATAACGCGCCTTTAACGGAATTAAACTCGACATATTTAATTCTTACATTTAAATTGAGTTAATTATTATATTTTGCGATTTACACCGTAAAAATGTAATTTATTTAATAGTGATTATAGACAATGAAACTACAGACTATACTTTAAAGTATTTTTTGGTAGATACATAATTTTGTAAAGATTTTAATTATATAGTATGTTAGTTATATATGGTTTTATAACGGAAAGATTGCGTTAAATATTTCCAGCAATATCGGGTTAATTAAATCCAAATTCGTACTCGTGCGAGTAGCTCGGAATTGCAGAAACACGGTGGATTTCACGGAATGCTTGTTAGAAGATATTCTAACAGACTGCGGTCGGGCATTAGATCGGATATTCTATACAGTACAGGCGTACTTAATTAGCTTAGCTAATCGTTTCACTAAGATATTTGATAAATTAAATACTGTCTATAGTTTACGCGAGTAGTACACATTTAAATAAAATACATTAACGGCTTAAAACGCGATATATAAATATATTAATATATATACTAGTCGCGTAAACTATAGACAGTATTTAATTAACAAGTACGGGCTGGAAAATGCAAACAAAGTTCGAAATAATATATCGCGTTTTAAACCGTTGAAGTGTTGATCAGACTTCTGTGCCTTGCCGGACCGTAACAATATATTGTTTTCCTTGCATACAAACCCAAGACATATAATGCTTAACTCAATGCAACCCAGCTACAAAGACCAAAAAATCGGTGTGCCTAAGTAGAAATATTCAACAAATAAATGACGGTTTTCCGATAGTGAAAGAAGAAGAATGTTTTAATAAAGTGGACGCCACGCGCGTGGGTGACAAAAGGCATGTGTGATGTATTCCTATCGAAGTGCGGGGAAAATGGGTCAAGGTTCGGTACCTGCTCCGCATTTCACGTCCCACACAGCGACAGGGGTTTTATTTACGCGACTGCAAATTGTAGAATGGAGCATTGTATTGGTAAAGTTAAGGTCAAAAATAATTTATTCACGTAGGTATTCACTTATGAACGTCACACCAGTTAAAAACGGTAATAAAACCACCGTTTACAGATGAAAAAGCCGTGAAGCGTAATCGCGTTTCGGTTTCAGTCTGTTCACTTTCGAATATAGGCCGACAGCGCATTCAGTTACTATAGGCTGGGTATATCAGCTACCGTCAAGTGAACCCCAACTTATCTGTTATCATGACAAAAAAAAAAGACTAAAGACTAAATTTACATTTACTACCAATTCTCAAACCAAGGGCGTAGAACGAACGAGAAGAACCGGCAATAAACTCGCCGTCACTCCTTTTATCGCCCAAATTTCATTTTACATTCTTGATTTACTTTTAGTGCACTACATATTTTTCCTTGTCACAGCGGGTTCCTCCATACCCCAAGCATTTATCGTTAAAATATGATGATATATACAATATGATCATATTTTAACGATTCATTATCAAACACTTTTACAGTTTAAAATTCGAGCTATATTTCTTTGTTTAAACTAAAAGGACTGCACCTGAAACTTCGAACCTTACATTTCGCGTTTGAAACCGTTAAAAATGCTTTACTCAAATTTACTTATAACCTAGATATTGACTTATTTTAACTATTGTCCTCGTTTCGGAGGCTTTGCAGCAGCCTTGGTGCTGCACGTAAAACTTCGAACCTTAAATTTTACGTTTTAAACCGTTGAAAATGTTTTATTTAATTTTACAGTACTTACTATGCAGTAATTTTTATAATACTCGAATGAAAATTGCATCACGCAATTCAAGTTAATAAAATTGCTAACTTAATTATTTCTATCTAGCTAAGCGCAAAGCTCCGAGGAGAAACTTTGCAAGTAGCAATAATAATATCTAGATCATAAGTAAGAGTTCGTGTGAGGTTATCGCCAACTTTTATTACTTTGCCAATCCAGCTATAATTGACTCCAACGTGCTTACTTTTTCCCCCAGTAACTGCAGCTATATTTTACACTTATAAACTCTCATTGGTTCTGCGAACTAATATCGACTGAAGTCTAGATTTTAAGTGGTTTCATTGGCGTTCTATAAATTACTTATGAAACGACTTATTTGTGTACGAAAACGTCATTAAACTTGTGGGTATTTTCAATATTATTATACATTTTATCTAATAGAATAATAATAAAAATACTTTTTAGGATCTCAAATATCTTTTAAAAATAAATGGATTTTAAGCTGTATTACAGAACGGTTTGAAACGCGTTTTATTCTTATAAAACGGTAGTTTTTCTTTTCATTTAAACAAGTCGTACAACACAAGACGATTTTAACGAAGTGAAACGTGATTTTTTTTACATTCGAGGATTGCAGGGAGTTAGAAAGCGATAGATGACAGTAGTACATTTAAGTTTGTACATTGAAGTGGAATTAAAGTGTCTAAAATGTGCAAACATAAATGGAACACTTTTAACGGTTTAAAACGCGAAATATATTACCTAACTTCTTTGCTATTTAACTACAGTCTCTCCGTTGCACCACGATTGCTGCAAACGAAACTTCAGGTCGTAGTTAAATGTATTATTAGTAACTGATAGATTTCGTGTTTTAAACCGTTATTTAAATGTGTACTACTCGCGTAAACTACAGATAATACTTAAAAAATAAATATATACCTCAAGTTTAAAACCGTTAAAGTAATTGGAGGTATATAGGGTACGATTTATATATCCGCCCATCCATTATATTTTATTCCCAATATGTATCGGCTACTAAACTTTGAAACAGCCCATTAATACGTGTTCCGATTACTCCACTCCACTCCACGTATTAAAATGCAAAGCGTAAAAATAGTTACTGCTAGAGTCTTCCTCCAGGCTCTATAAAATTTAACCGTTCACTAGATGTAAAAGACCAGCAGTTTCCATAATGGCCTAACACTTGCGTTTAGAAGAGAAATACGTTTGAATCGTTACATTATTTTACATACTAGCTGGCGTGGCCTACGTTATTTTCCCATATCGAGGATTTTTACTTATTAGATTTTGAATGTTTGCTTTAAAAACTGATTTGTATAAAGTTGTTTGCTATAAAGAACTGATCTTGTAGAATCTTTAGTCTTAAAAGATACACTGTTGTGGACACATTTTTGGTCTATTTGAATAAGAATAATTCTATTAATATTTTTTTCAGTATCGTAATAACATGGAAAAACGGGGATAATCACAGAATAATTTTCCCATTCTTTTCCACATATCCCACTGTCACTTCGTTCCTATTGGTCGCAGCATGATGGTTTAGTTTAAGGCCTTTTTAGATAAATACTCTAACCAACACAAAAACATTTTTTCAATTTAAACCAGGAGTCCAGCTACGTAATATTAGTATTATCGAGTTGCCTAGACGAAAAGTTCCGAGTTCAGATCTGATCAGAGGGAAGATAAAATAATTCCGTAAATAAAGTGATCAATAAAAGAAAAACAGATATATGTTTGCCTACAGGAGGTCTGGAAGTCGAAATTTTACTTTACTGGTAAAAGTAGTTTACACAAATTTAAAAACTACAATAAAACTGAGAACTTTAAATATTCTGAATTAGCAATCCACACAACAATAAGATTTTCTTTATAGAAATGGGAGAATGACAACAATACGACCGTTTATTATGCTAGCAATATTTTTACACGTATGAGATTCATAAAGATTAACAAATTCGAACAAACAACGAACAAATGGACATCCGATAAAGCTCGTGGGTATAAAATTATTAAGCTTTTGAAAAGTCGTATGACTAACTTACATTTTGTTTAAAAATAAACACTGTGAATATGAGGCTGCTAGGGGCAGAGTGGCCTAATAACTAAAAACATGATTTTCAATACGGAGGAAAATAAAAATGCGAAAAGAAAAAATATGAACTTAGGCGAGAATGAATTTGTACTATAATTTGTGTAAGAATTATGTTAACAATTTTCCGTCACTGTGCTCTTGTAAATTAACATTTAAAGACTGTAAAAATATAAATAAGTCAAGACATAAAATTGCAGTTAAGCTAATCTAGTTCTAGCGGCCTCAAATACAATACACTTTTTCGTAATCTTCAAAAATAATGCAATAGTTTAAAGACGTGACCCGACTAATTTATCATTCAATATACAAATTATAAACAAACTCTTCTAGAAAATGGTCACAAACTCTAAAAACAATGTTCAAACTGTTCCTTACATTTTGGATGAAGGGTTTTGTCAGCACAATTTGTCATCAAATTACTGGGTAACGGGACTATCCTAACTTTAGTTTCAGACAACTTTGTTGGAACCTTTGTACACAATTAAGACGGTCGTTAGTGTGACATATTAGGCAATTAATCATTTAATTCATTTAAAATTTCAAACTGTTAAACTTGTAACAGTAAATATCACCTTTGCATCTACACTACATGTCACTGCACGTGATGGCATTTATATATATAATTATTGTTATCTGTGTCATTTTATTTTGTTACATATATAGATTTTTTTATCTATATTAATTATTTGTCAAATGTATCTATTTGTTTTACTCTATAACCATTCCTCTTATTATACCTCTTTCATTTATGTATGTCCTATCTCTGTATCCTAAAAAACATTTTAAGATCATATCTCATTTTATATTTAGCAATAAAAAAGTTTTATATATTTTCATTCTATCTACATGCATATATTAATTATGCCTAACTCGCTCGCGATCACGATATATAAGCCGTCATATCCGATTTTCTCCGTGTAAAGTTTCCCTACCTTTAACATGACACTGGCAATAAAACAAATAGTTATTTCTTCTTGCCACAAATGGAAAAAA